AGCAACAAGCAGCTTCATAATGTGAGCACACAGCTCCATAATGTGAGCACACAGCTCCATGGTGAGCACGACAGCTGTGAGCACACAGCTTCATAGTGTGAGCACACAGCTTCATAATGTGAGCACACAGCTTCATAATGTGAGCACACAGCTCCATAATGTGAGCACACAGCTCCATAATGTGAGCACACAGCTCCATAATGTGAGCACACAGCTCCATAATGTGAGCACACAGCTCCATAATGTGAGCACACAGCTCCATAATGTGAGCACACAGCTCCTAATGGTGAGCACAACGAGCTCCATGAGTGAGCACACAGCTCCATAATGTGAGCACACAGCTCCATAATGTGAGCACACAGCTCCATAATGTGAGCACACAGCTCCATAGTGTGAGCAGAGTTAGCCTGGATTAGACATGTACTGGATGCAGTGTCACTGACTGGACTGATGTGTTTGTTGGATGCAATGACCTGATATAATGCAGTATCATAAACTTATGTGATGTAAGATGTATATTGAATATAGTATCATTGAGTGAACTGATATAGGTATATTATACATCATTATTATTTATACAGTCAACACTGTGGTCTGGAGGGAGGCGTCAGTGAGATCCATACTGTCTCTCTCTCTCTGGACCTGCTAAAGTTCCATCCCCACTGGAATTTCTGTTCCAAACTCTCCGTCCCCTCCCTACAAGAATTCTCATCTGTGCCGAGGCTTGGTTGGGTATAGCCAGGTTATGATTCAGCATAACTGCATTATCTAATGTTGGTTAAACTACAATATTTAATGTTGGCTAACTACATTGTCTAAATGTTGGTTGACTACAATATCTAATATTGGTTTGCTGCAGATCTAATGTTGGTTTTCTACAGTATTCAATGTTGGTTGGTTACAACATCTAATGCCAGCTTGATACAATGTTATATGTTGGGTGACTGCAATATTTCATGATGGTCAGTCAGTATTCTGCTTAGGTTAACTACAATACCCTACCCTACATAGCCACAATATAACAGCATTGGTTTCAAGTGAAACTACCATATCTCACTTGTTTGCTGTGACAGGCTGGTATCATTTATGTTAAGTATATACAACATCAGACCATAATTGTCAGGATGGAAACAACATATGACCACATAATGGTATCATTATTATAATGAACTTCATGGCTGAAGATTATGTCAGATATTTGGGGTTAGTGTTTGAGTCAATAATTCTCATTGAGTCATTTTGTTTCGACTAATATGCCTGTCTGTCTGTCTGATGGAAGGACAGTAATGTAACATACTGTATTCTAATTGTTGTCATTATTTACACACCCATCGTAATGCCTGCACTGTACTCATGCATGATCTGTTGTAGAATTATTTGTAGCCTTTATTGTTTAATGCAAGACATTAGTTCAGAGAGACATTGCCAGATTTCTGTAGCGTATATGTTGTGTTTCCTGGCAACGTGGAACATTCTTGAGCGTTTGGGTCTCTGTGAGTTTTTATTTACATGTCTTTATTATTAAAGATGTTTTTTTTTTTTTAATGAAGAAAATGTATTGTGTGAGTTTACTGTAATGGAAAATGTTGTGATCTGTGCAGATAAATGTAGATTGTTTGGAATATTCTCAGTGCTTTTATTTGAATCCTGAAAGTTGTTAGTCAAATGTAGGTTTGTTTGCATGGAGTGGGAAAAAAAAGAAAAGGGGGGGAGGGTGGGGGGTGGGGGTGAGAGCTAGAAAAAGAGAGAGAGAGAGAGAGCAAATCTGTGTGTAAACAATACAGAAGACTGCAAATGTCAGGATTATTGACAGAGAGATTGCTGGTATTTAAAGACTGTCTTTTCATCATTAGACTATCCGTGATTTCTTCTTTTACTGACTACAGATAGGACCACAAATGTCTCAGCTGAGTATAAGAACATCCCAGCTGCCCCACACCACCACCCATCCCAGCTGCCCCACACCACCACCCATCCCAGCTGCCCCACACCACCACCCACCCACCCCAGCTGCCCCACACCACCACCCACCCCACCCTACTGCCCACACCACACCACCCCCACCCCTGCTGTCCCTACACCCCACCACCCACCAACCCCACCCACACCCCACCCCAGCTGCCCCACACCACACACCACCCACCCACCCACCCACCCCAGCTGCCCCACACCACCACCCACCCACCCCAGCTGCCCCACACCACCACCCACCCACCCCAGCTGCCCCTCACCACCACCACCACCCCCTGCTGTCCCACACCACCACCACCCACCCCTGCTGCCCCACACCACCACCCACACCCACCCCTACTGCCCCCACACCAACACCCACCCTGCTGCCCAACACCCTGCTGCCCCACACCACCACCCACCCACCCCAAGCTGGCCTCACACCACCACCATCCCCCCAGCTGCCCACACCACCACCCACCCACCCCTGCCCACAGCCCCCACCCCTCACCACCACCCCCACCCCTGCTGCCCTCACACACAACCACCCACCCCTGCTGTCCACACCACCACCACCCCACCTGCCCCACCCAGCTGTCCCACACCCACCCACCCACCCCTTCTGTCCCACACCACCACCCACCCCAGCTGTCCCACACCACCACCCACCCCTACTGCCCCACACCACCACCACCCACCCCTGCTGCCCCACACCACCACCCACCCCTGCTGCCCCACACCACCATCCACACAAGCACCCACACAGCCATCCATTACAGTTGAAATAACCTCTGCACCCTTCATTAGTTAAACTCTGGCCAGGGTATTCTTCTTTCTGACCAGTGTATTTGTCTCAGAGGCTGTGATAGTTCTGTGTCAGTTTACACCCAAGCTAGCACATCATCCATGAAGATGAAGGTCCACATTCACACACAGGAGACTTGTGTCATGAGTTCCTGTCACAGGTGACATCTATATCATTCCCCTATAAAATGCACATCTCAGCCTTTTCCACATCATTTCTCACTCATCTGTTGACTGTGCCCTGATTCACTTCTCTATGTTGTATCCACTGCCTCAGCACACACCATACATCTGAGATGTGCTTCTTCAGTTATATGTATGTATGTAGTAATATGTTGAACAAATGTGCTATACCTCTATGTTCTCATACGTGTTGACCCACATAGACAATGTGTATGTATCTGCTAGCTCATTTAACATTGATATTGATGTGTTTGTAGTGTTTTTTTGTTTGTTTTGGGTTTTTATTGTTTATTTTATGCATGCAACAACTCATCCAAATTTGCATGTGTCTGTGAGAATCATAACCGAAGAAACAGAATGTCTAGTCTCAATAAATTATGAGAAATGTTATTATCAGAGTTACAGAGTTGTGTGAGTATTTGTGTGTGTGTATGTTTGAGAATGTTAGTCTCTCATATAAGGTCGTATATGTCAGTCTCACATATAGGATAGTATATGTCAGTCTCATATAATTTTGTATAATGTCAGTCTCTCATTTACGGTTGTATATTTCACTCTCATAAAAGGTCATCTATATCAGTCTCTCATATAAGGTCATATAGGTCAGTCCCTCATATAAGGTCGTATAGGTCAATCTCTCATATAAAGGTCATATAGGTTGGTCTCTCATATAAGGTCGTAAAGGTCAGTCTCTCCAATAAGGTCATATAGGTCAGTTTCTCCAATAAGGTCATATAGGTCAGTCTCACATATAAGGTCATATAGGTCAGTCTCACATATAAGGTCATATAGGTCAGTCTCTCCTATAAGGTCATATAGGTCAGTCTGTCATATAGGGTCGTATATGTCAGTCTCTCATATAAGGTTGTATGGGTTAGTCTCTCATATAAAGGTCATTTAGGTTGATCTCTCAAATAAGGTCATATAGGTCACTCTCTTATAAGGTCATATAGGTCACTCTCCTATAAGGTCATATAGGTCAGTCTCACATGTAAGGTCATATAGGTCAGTCTTCTATAAGGTTGTATAGGTCAGTCTCACATATAAGGTTGTGTAGGTCAGTCTCACATATAAGGTTGAGTAGGTCAGTCTCACATATAAGGTCGTATAGGTCAGTCTCACATGTAAGGTCGTATAGGTCAGTCTCACATGTAAGGTCGTATAGGTCAGTCTTCTATAAGGTTGTATAGGTCAGTCTCACATATAAGGTTGTGTAGGTCAGTCTCGCATAAAGGTTGTATAGGTCAGTATCACATATAAGGTTGTATAGGTCGGTCTTCTATAAGGTCATATAGGTAAGTCTCACATATAAGGTTGTATAGGTCACTCTCCTATAAGGTCATATAGGTCAGTCTCACATGTAAGGTCATATAGGTCAGTCTCACATGTAAGGTAATATAGGTCAGTCTCACATATAAGGTCGTATAGGTCACTCTCTTATAAGGTCATATAGGTCACTCTTTTATAAGGTTGTATAGGGCAGTCTCACATGTAAGGTTGTGTAGGTCAGTCTCACATGTAAGGTCGTATAGGTCAGTCTCACATATAAGGTTGTGTAGGTCAGTCTCACATGTAAGGTTGTATAGGTCAGTCTCACATGTAAGGTTGTATAGGTCAGTCTCACATGTAAGGTTTTATAGGTCAGTCTCACATGTAAGGTTGTATAGGTCAGTCTCACATGTAAGGTCGTATAGGTCAGCCTCACATATAAGGTTGTGTAGGTCAGTTAAGGTTCAAATGAATGCTTTATGTGTGTCTGGGAGGTTCTAAAAACTCTATTAATTGTCCCTTCTCCCTCTGTGTCTGTCTGTGTTTGTCTGTCTCTCTCTCTCTCCTTAACAACATTACAACTATACTCAGGTTTCTAAAATGGAATCATATCTCTCTTTAAACTTGATAAGAAAGTTTGTCTATACATTTGATCAGTAACTATTCCTGAGAACAAATAACATAACAATAAACACCATAAACCCCATTTATATCAGAAAGGTTGAACAAGATATTTAAATTTTTTTTTTTAAACAAAACTTATCACAGTTTCCAAACTACTTCTGCAAACAAGACTAATAGTAATCAACAAAGGGCATGTGACCATGCCTGTTTTTTTGCATTGTCAGACCAAACACTGGATCCTTCTGGGTGGGGCCATGTACAGAGAAGACTGGCTGTCTGTACGAGGATGTCATGTAATTGGAAAATGGATACAAATTGTCATCCTTGAAGCTCAGCTCTCGTTTGGCCCTGGCGACATGGTTTTCTGTGTTTGGTAGACCTGCCCTGTTTGCAGGAGGAAAATCATCTTTGGTTAGCTCATTTTACTAGAAGTTTTTTTTTTAAATATATAAACTACTCTGTGATTTGAGTGGCAGACAGTCTAACCTCTCTGTTGTGGTTATACAAAAGTCTACCAACATCATGGGAAAGGTTCAAACACAATTAGAGAGCATCATAGAAAGAATTGCACAAACAACATGAAGATAAGATGGGGACAGGTTCCAGTCTTTAAAGTGTATGACCAGAACCAATCAAGGGAGCACTGAGTAGTCACAAGCATGTCCTAAGAAGCAGCCATGAAGGGCTGGCATAGGACTGGCTACCTTAAAGACTAGCTGCAGAGCCCAACAAATCAAACAAATTTATGGACAAGATGGCTGGGCCTATGCTTCAGTTGGAGATGACAGGTAGAAGGAGAAAGCTCAGGTGTTGTTGAATATGTAACTATGGCTCAAGAATTACTACCAAACTTGGCTGCTGTATATAATAAAGATGTCATATTCTGATCCACTAGGGGCAGGCTTAAACCAGGGTTTCCAATCTTTTTTAGGTCGTACACCCCTTGAGTATATGGCAAGATCCCCGCACCCCCCTCGAGTATATGTCAATACCCTTAATGAGTATATGGCAAGACCCCTGCGCCCCTCCTTGAGAATATGTCAATTCTCCCAATCACTGCCCCCCCCCCACCCCGCTTTTAAAAAAATGTACTGCAATATACACCTTTCCCTACCCCATTCCCCGAACAAAACAAAGTGTGATTAATTAAAAAGATGACAATAAATCCCACAATGGAAACAGACAGAAAGGAAATAGTTTTGGTCAGAATGTGTTCTTAATCTATAAATGCCTGCGTTATCATATTAATTAGATTTTTAATTCTAGATATATGAACTGCTTATTGACACACAAAATGTCCTTGGCTTTTTGTTTTATAAATAGTTGTAAGTGAATAATGAAACTATCAGGCAAATTGTGGGAACGACAACTTTTACTTGATTCATCGAGAAACAGCAGACCAAGTGGTTTGGCCATCACGTTAGAATGCAGCAAGATTAAATACCATCACAAGCACTACATCTCAGAAGACCAACTACAAGAGCAAGAGGATGGCCGCAGAAAATAGATAGACAACATTAAAGACACTCTACGCCTTCACGGCCTGATAATAGCCAGTGGCAGCCAACGTGCACTGGATCGCAAATTATTCCTCCCCACGATGCTTAAAGGCAGAAGTGGTTTATGATGATGATTATGAAATAGTTGTAAAAACTATTTTATTTTTTTTATTAATAATTAAAAGGAAAAAATATATACCTGATTATTACAATTACAAATGCATTTCAAAATTGGTCGACACACCCATTAAAACCTGATCATGAGGTGGCTTACATCTAATGCAGTTATGTTGGTGTAGAGATTATCTTTTCTTGACATAGACCACAGTTTATCTCATGGGGGACTGTGCTGCAGAGATCTACTTCCCCTCTCCTGACAGGAACCAAAGCTCTATCTCTGTTTTTGCTAATGTATTCTTTAATTAAGTGATGGAATGCTGAAGGTTGTTACCTTCGTGCCCCAATTATGAACACATATTATCAGTACATCTAATTAAATATATAACTGCTACTAGAAAGAAAAATCACAAATATTCACAATCTACCTCAGAAATTTATTGTCATCCACTGGCCAATCTTTTCCTTCTCTGGTCCACTTTGGTGTTTTCCCCAGTCCCATTCGCATTTCAAACTGCCAAGGTCGATAAGGCCGATGACGGCTATCGGTAATTCCTGGCAACTCATCTCGTCTTCTTGAGTTTTCCCAATGATACCATTTGTCTGTCCAGTTCTAATTAAACAGCAATAAACAGTTCAGTTAAGCATCACAGTCAGGGACTGGTCAAATAGTTAAAAGTGCTCGTTTCCCAAATATGGAAGATGTGGGGGGATTTTAGGTCTTGACTCTCAAATGTGGGGGATGTGAGGTCTCAACTCTCAGATGAGAGGTCTCAGCTTTCAAATGTGGGGGATGTGTACAAGATCAGATGCAAGATAAATTTAACACATTTGATGGGCGGTCATAACAACTGGGCCTGAAAATACTATGGGAAAAGACAAAGATTGTAAGAATAAATCAAGCAAACCATGTCTCTTGGTGAAACTTGATATAACAAATAGGGGATATCTGAGCATAATCAACTAATATAACACAACTCAAGGTCTTGATATAAACAAAAATGGGATGCCCGAGCATGATCAACTTGAATGTTGATTTCATCATTGAACTGATATGACAAAAAACAAGATCTCGTAATAAACAGATAAATGCATCTTCTAAATGTAAAAAAAAAACATACATAATCTGCTCAGGTGACATAGGACAGCTGGTACAACATCTTACACGTTACCTGCTAGATGATACATAATACATTTCATACAATATTTTACACACTATCTGACCTGACAGATAACACTACAGACATAAACTGTAAAATACTGATTTCCTGTGTGGGTTCTGAGGGGGGGGGGGGGGGGGGGGGTAATGGACCTATTCACTGACACCCCCCCCCCCCCCCCCCCACCAAATAGCGTGTAGTAAAAGTCTACTTATTAGGGGTGATTCCTTTGAAGTTGGAGTGGATTTACCTGAGAGGCGAGGAACAAACTGATACAAATAAGCCAGATCTGTAAAAAAGATGTGCATGCAAAACTCAAGTTCTGGACCAAGACTAACATCTGGAAGTGGCCAAACAACCAGAACTTTCTGCCAGAGTTTACAGCCGGTGAAGGCCAAGAAGGAGAAAAAGATGAAGCATAATATTATGACACAGGGACACATCTCATTCAATATCTTACGTATGATCTGCTAGCTGAGATCCACAAGGCATCTCATACAATATCTTACGTATGTTCTGCTAGCTGAGATCCATAAGACATCTCATACAATATCTTACATATGTTCTGCTAGCTGAGATCCATAAGGCATCTCATGCAATATCTTATGTATGTTCTGCTAGCTGAGATCCATAAGGCAGCTCATACAATATCTTACGTATGGTCTGCTAGCTGAGATCCATAAGGCATCTCATACAATATCTTACGTATAGTCTGCTAGCTGAGATCCATAAGGCATCTCATACAATATCTTACGTATGGTCTGTTAGCTGAGATCCATAAGACATCTCATACAATATCTTACATATGGTCTGTTACCTGAGATCCATAAGACATCTCATACAATATCTTACATATGATCTGCTAGCAGGGATCCATAAGACATCTCATAAAATATCTTACATATGATCTGCTAGCTGAGATCCACAAGACATCTCATACAATATATGTATGTTCTGCTAGCTGAGATCCATAAGACATCTCATACAATATCTTATGTATGTTCTGCTAGCTGAGATCCATAAGACATCTCATACAATGTCTTACGTATGATCTGCTAGCTGAGATCCACAAGACATCTCATACAGCATCTTACACACTATCTGCTAGCTGAGATCCATAAGACATCTCATACAATATCTTATGTATGTTCTGCTAGCTGAGATCCACAAGACATCTCATACAATATCTTTTGTATGTTCTGCTAGCTGAGATCCATAAGACATCTCATACAATATCTTACGTATGATCTGCTAGCTGAGATCCACAAGACATCTCATACAGCATCTTACACACTATCTGCTAGCTGAGATCCATTAGATATCATACAGCATTACACACACTACCTGCTAGGTGATACTTAAGACGTCTTATACAGCATCTCACACATTATTTACTTTATGTAAACATATAAGACGCACCTGATGGCCAGTCAGTCCAGTCCTTCGTGTGTATTTGTCAGGTTCCTCACGTCTGAATAAATATGAAAATGTACACAACATTTTATGTATCAACAATTGCTTGACATACATGTTTACATTTTATGTATCAGCACTTGCTTTAGACATATCAGAAATATTAAAATGTACACTACATTTAAAGTATCAACACTAGCTTTACAAATACCAAAAATATTCAAACATAAACCAAACCAGCACCAATGCTCCCAGTGTGTCTAGAATAGTCTGAGGCAAACACTGGAGCATATCCTGGGTGGCTTGGTACTGTGAAGAGAAGCTGATCAGACATACTGTGTTCACTGGGAGAAAAAGGCTGGATTCTCATCATTCAGTAGCAGCAGATGAATATCTCACCATGACCTTCTTTGTGGAACCAGCTAGACTATTTCCTTACTGTTTTTTTTTTTTTTGTTTTTTGCCTGTTTATTATTTTGGCAGCCTTTTAACTCTTTCCCATACATAGTGCTTACATTTTTTCCCAGATTGTAATTTTTTTTTTAATGACCAGAGTGTGTTTGGTTTATTTCTTTCATCACCCCCCCCCCCCCCCACACACACACACACACAAAATTCACTTAACAGGACAGTGGAAGCTTCTAAGCTTAACTGTAACAGAAATGTTCTCACATATCTTGTGGACATAAAAAACATACAGACATTTACCTGATGTGACCATTGCAGACAGCTGGCTAATTAATAGCGACATGTCTGGGACACAGAAACAATCCAGTCATATGACACCCACCAGTGGTTTTGAAATAACACTAACTGAAGGCTTGGCTATTGGCGGACGAGGCAGGGATTGAACATCAATTACAGCTGGAGAAGGAGGGGGAAATAGAGCATAATGGCACCTCATGTGTCAAAATATATGGGGCAAGATCGGCTTGTAGTGGTCATCCATTCCATTCTATCGGGTGTAACTGTTTCAGTATCATGGCTGGAATCCAGTCCAACAGCTTAGACTTCTCTCATCAACATTCATGAATCTGAGGCTTTTCGTGGGCGCCTTCATCACCATTGGTTTCCCATTTCAGTGACAGTTTGCTGATCCTGTCCTCGGATCTGCCTGGTTATCGCATTTTCTTAGAGCAATTGTAGGGGTCTTGTATACGGTGATAACCAATAATTAACAATACTTAATAATTACCTGAACATATTCTGTGGAGCCGGGTACTGGGGCACAGTCGGGGGCATATTCACCCAGTACGGATACATTGACTGAGATCGCTTGAAAAACAGTGTGTCCGCCATGCCAGCTTCCACGTATCACCTCAACTGAATGTGTATATGATAATATGTATAGACCAAAGATTTTGTTTAAACTCCCTGTTTCAAGTGGACACGACGACGCGCCGACACTGGCAGAACATTGATCTCACTGAGAAACATCTTTTGCTTACAGCTTGTATAAATACATATATATTCATAAATGATTGTTCGCAGATTTTACAACTAAATGTTAACTTTATTAATATTTCAGCTTGCAATTAAAAGTTCACTAATTACCAAAATATTAAAATATATGGCGTGTAGTACAGGTTCAAACTATTTTACAGAGTATAAGCTCGGTATCCACTACAACTGTAGTACAAGCGTTACCATGGCTACGTTTATGGTCTCTTAGAGCGCTGACAATAAATAATAGTGTCTCCGTTGAAATCTTGAGCAGATCATGTGATTCATATAAATAATGCCTTTATAAATCACGGAACCGTACAATTGTTGGAAATTCTTTATGTTGTTAGGGAAATTAAATATGCCTACGGCCATCAGTATCTGTGACTTTCCAATTTCATGATCACGACTTAATAAGTGAATTTTATTCCAGTAGCCGAGTGGTAACCAATTTTTTTTCAAATCAATTTCTTTTAAATGCTGAATGTAAGAAAATTAAATTTCTTAGTTTGTTAACTTGGAATAACTTACATTGTTATTTACATTTATATTGTATTCTTACACATAGATTAGCACATTTGAGTGGTATAAGACAGACAGACAGCGTGTTAAAACTGCCCGCTACATAATGAGTTCACTGAATACAGCAGCTGTTGGATTTCTTGCAGTTCCAGCGAAGCTTCCAAAAGAATGGTAAATGTAGCGTCATTTTATATTTAAACAGTAAAAATAATTCTGAAATATTTTGGCATTATTAAACCAAGACATTGTAACAATGGCTTAGAAAAAAAAAAAGAATGATAGACACGTGATTTATGGAGGAGGGAATAGAAGAAGAATGGGCTATCTTCCTAATAACGGGCACTAAAGATGGCGGCTGCAAAAACATTCTAACAGAGCCTCAGTCACGTGTCAATTGCGCACTTCAGGCGACTTAATTTACGGTTTTCCGGCGACTACCACCACTGCCAAGAGTCCCCCATGCCGTGTGGATTGGGACTAAACTAGATGACTAGGACTCACGACAGGTAGCTTCCACATCTCCTGCAGCTTCCTTCATTTTATCTGCTCGTGAGTCTCAGCCATCTAGTTTAGCTCCACTCCACGCTGCACGTAGCGGCGTATGAGATACTCTCGGAAGTTTGCCATTTACATATGACTGAGTCCCTGCTAGGGTATATTTTCGGCCTCGATAGTTTGGGACCGTTATTCAGAAGATATGAAGGTGGGGACAGGACATTACGTTTAGCATGAAAATCCAAATGGCAAGGATGCCGGTGAAGAACTGAGGTCTGATGGGAATGATATTCTGTGAAGGACCTGCTACATAGTGATGATGATGAATCATCCTTTGAAGTCAGAGTACATTTGCCTGAGAGGCAAGGAACCAACAGGCAGCATGCAAATGAATCACACCTGTAAATCGGATGTTCACACTACACTCAAGTTCTGGAACAGGACTAGAATCCAGAAGTGGATGAACAACCAGAACGTTCTGCCAGAGTTTACAGTTGGTGAAGGCGAAGAAGAAGAAGACTTTTAACTCACAGTCCACGAGGATCATTAAAAGAATATGCAACCTGCATAAAGATTCGTTTACAAATCCTAAACATTTAATAGTTTCCTGCCCGCATAAAGTATTTATAAAAAACAAGACAGGCAGACTAGTCAGAGAAAGAAGGAAAACTGTCAGACTGAAGGCAGAGCTACCTATGAAGAGTTGGGTTAATTAAATATCTATCTCCAATTCTAACGCCTGTAAATCTAATGCATTGACATCTGATAGATACAGGTGACAAACCTGAAAAGAGTGTACATCGAACGGGGTGGGACGTATGAATTTCTCCCTGCCTTGACCAAAGTGCCACATTTGTGAAGAGCATGACAATCCTGAGAATGGTAGCCAGACTTGGTGCTTATTCTGTGGACATATAGCCAGACTTGGTGCTCATTCTGTGGACTTATAGCCGGACTTGGTGCTCATTCTGCGGATATTTAGCCAGACTTGGTGCTCATTCTGTTGACATATAGCCAGATTTGGTGCTTATTCTGCGGATTTTTAGCCAGACTTGGTGCTCATTCTGTGGACATATAGCCAGACTTGGTGCTCATTTTGTGGACATATAGCCAGACTTAGGGCTCATTCTGTAGAGAGGTGGCACCATGGAGAAGTGCTTCAAGGTCTATGCATTCATTTGAGACCCCAGTAATTTTTTTGTTCCATGCGAGTAGTATCAAATATAGAGTATGTATTGGTTGTCTCCACATTATCTCAGCACAGCCTATCTGTTTCCTTTTATCTGTTTAGACTTCAAGAAATCATGTACCACAATTTGTAGGGTCTAAAACTTAATTGTATTTGTACCAACCAGGCAACCCAAACTGAATGAATGGAATCCATACCACTGCAGCCATCCTGATGTAGCCAGAGTAAGTTGTTTATTTATAACTCTTCATTTCTTACCTAGATCTCTCTCTCTCTGCCTGTGTAATTAAATCCGTGTGTCTGACAATCTTTGTTTCTTTCTATTAGTATAAATGCCCATTTGCCATTTTTGTTTCTGTCTTTCTTTTATTTCCTTTCATTTTTATATTTTAAAAGTATATTTTATTTGAACTTAGCCCTCAGTGGCTAGCATATAACAACCCCGGTTCTGTGATAGGTGATTCTTCTTCTCTGGCTTCTTGACCTCATTCCATCTGACTTAACATTTTTGCAGTGACAATCTCTGGCTTCTTGAACTCATTCCATCTGACTCAACATTTTTGCAGTGACAATCTCTGGCTTCTTGACCTCATTTGATATGACTGAACATTTTTGCAGTGACAATCTCTGGCTTCTTGACCTCATTTGATATGACTGAACATTTTTGCAGTGACAATCTCTGGCTTCTTGACCTCATTTGATATGACTGAACATTTTTGCAGTGACAATCTCTGGCTTCTTGACCTCATTTGATATAACTGAACGTTTTTGCAGTGACAATCTCTGGCTTCTTGACCTCATTTGATATGACTGAATGTTTTTGCAGTGACAATCTCTGGCTTCTTGACCTCATTTGATATGACTGAACGTTTTTGCAGTGACAATCTCTGGCTTCTTGACCTCATTCGATATGACTGAATGTTTTTGCAGTGACAATTTCTGGCTTTTTGACCTCATTTGATATGACTGAACATTTTTGCAGTGACAATCTCTGGCTTCTTGACCTCATTCGATATGACTGAATGTTTCTGCAGTGACAATCTCTGGCTTCTTGACCTCATTTCTGTTGACTGAACGTTTTTGCAGTGACAATCCCTGAAGAGATAAAAAATGCACCTGTAGACTGCAGTCCAAAAATGTAATGATGACCTTCAGATCGCTAGGATAATGCCACGACCATTTCATTGTAAAGATCCCCATCATGTACAAGGGCAAGTGCACTAACTACTAAGCCACCAAACTCAATCACTTTCTATCAGTATCGAATCAAAATGAAATAACAGGAACAGAGGTTGCAAACCATTTGCCTTATGCTGAGGATTTAGTGTTAGACTTCATCCTTTGATGTGCAAACACAGGTGTTTCATAGATCCCTGGGCATCATCTCTGGAGGTATGGTTACGTGCTTTGTGTGATGCTCTGAGGGGAGAAATTTGGCCTATGCAATGAGGTCAGTCATTTTCTCACATTTAAATGTTATTGACACATAGCAGCCCAAACTGTCAAGCTACAGAAACCCTAACATTCCAGTTATAAAAATATCAGTTGTCCATTGACCTAGGCAGGTTGGAGAAAATGGAGTGCTGAACAGCCCGGCTGGCAGGCTTGGAAAGCTTCCTCTCGTCACCCGGACTGGTACAATAGAGAGGTTAACTACATTGTACAAGGTAATGTCTCTCTGCAGCTGACCTCTTTGTTTGCATTTGGTTCTGAACTTGATTTTCTGTGACTATTTCTGTAAGCCTTTGATTCTCTCTCAGTCTGATTCTATATCTCATATGTCTGTGATCTTTAGTCTGTCTGTCAGTTCATCTTTCTTTAAAATTGTTCAGTACATTTTCTTCATATTAACCCTGCCAACAACCATATTTATCCAGCTGCAATGTTACTCATTTCCTATCTATATACTCACTCCTCCAAACACAATAACTGTTACTCATTTTCTATCTATATACTCACTCCAAACACAATAACTGTTACTCATTTTCTATTGACTCCTCCAAACACGATAACTGTTACTCATTTCATATGCACTCCTCCAAACACAATAACTGTTACTCATTTTCTATCTATATACTCACTCCTCCAAACATGATAACTGTTATTCATTTCCTATCTATATACGCACTCCTCCAAACATGAAAACTGTTATTCATTTCCTATCTATATACTTACTCCTCCAAACATGATAACTGTTATTCATTTCCTATCTATATACTCACTCCTCCAAACACAATAACTGTTACTCATTTCCTATTGACTACTCCAAACACATCTTCCCTGTGGCTACACACTGATGTGAGTCGTGGACTATCTCTCAGTCCTTAAGAAAGAGAATAGGGGCTTTTGAGCTGAAATGCTATAGAAAGATTCTCAGAATATCTTGGACAAAGAAGATGAGAAATATTGACATCTTAAAAGATCTGAACATCAAGGAAGATTGGCTAATAAACAGCATCCTTTCTCGAAAGCTGAAATATTTTGGTCATATCAAGCGCCACGACGGATTGGAAAAAATTATAGCAGAAGGCACAGTACCAGGAAGGAGGGGCAGGGGCCGACCGACATGAAGATGGGCACAGGACATAAGTGACTCCTTGAGTGTGAAAGTTCATGAGGCGGGAGAACTGGCAAGAGAACGAGTTTCTTACAGGCAGACTGTGATGAGAGCAACGTTCTGCAAAGGACCTGCTACATGATAGACTCCAAACACAATAACTGTTACTCATTCCATATTGACTCTTCCAAACACAATAACTGTTACTCACTTCCTGTTTACTCCTCCAAACACAATAACACTCACTGTTGCTCATGCCCTATCTATTTATTTATTCAGCAAACAACAAGAACAAGAACTGGCACTGGGAACAGCCATCCAAACCAACCAGCAGACAATATGCTTCCATCCCTGGCGATAATGAGCCGACCCTGAAAGTTGGCCAGAAGCTCTTCCCTCACAACAGGGGTTACCATGGAAACTTAAGCTACCCTCAACCTTTCCCCCAGGAAGTGCCCACTCCCAAATGGGGGTTGTACCATCCTGGTCACTATCAGGAGCCAACCAGGCTCAACCATTTCCCCCCTATTCACCATGAAGGGTATCAGAAAAGAGATCAATGAACAATGACATCAGCCTATCATTTGCTTGTTGTCAGTTTGAACAAAGAAGACACAAAAATAGTTTGCACAATATATTGCCCTAGCATTGTTGAAAATAAAATAAAACGATGTTTACAGTGATTTGTTATCTTGATTAATTCTTTAATATGCACTTGATAAAATGTGGTGTTAAATTGTTGCATTCCTTTTGTTCATAGATCACTACAGGATGTGATGGGAATACACTCCACATTTATGTTGCATTCCTTTTGTTCATAGATCACTACATTACACAACTGGTTGCAGACAGACACCATTTCTCAACATTAATCAACTGGTTGCAGACACCATTTCTCAACATTACACAACCGGCTGCAGACAGACACCATTTCTCAACAATACACAACTGGTTGTAGACGGACACCATTTCTCAACAATACACAACTGGTTGTAGACGGACACCATTTCTCAACAATACACAACTGGTTGTAGACGGACACCATTTCTCAACAATACACACCTGGTTGCATACGCACACCATTTCTCAACAATACACACCTGGTTGCAGACAGACACCATTTCTCAACAATACACACCTGGTTGCAGACAGACACCATTTCTCAACAATACACAACTGGTTGCAGAGGGACACCATTTCTCAACAATACACAACTGGTTGTAGAGGGACACCATTTCTCAACAATACACAACTGGTTGTAGAGGGACACCATTTCTCAACAATACACAACTGGTTGTAGACGGACACCATTTCTCAACAATACACACCTGGTTGCAGACGGACACCATTTCTCAACAATAAACTGGTTGCAGACAGACACCATTTCTCAACAATACACACCTGGTTTCAGACAGACACCATTTTTCAACAATACACACCTGGTTGCAGACAGACACCATTTCTCAACAATACACAACTGGTTGCAGACAGACACCATTTCTCAACAATACAAACCTGGTTGCAGACAGACACCATTTCTCAACAATACAAACCTGGTTGCAGACAGACACCATTTCTCAACAATACACAACTGGTTGCAGACAGACACCATTTCTCAACAATACAAACCTGGTTGCAGACAGACACCATTTCACAACAATACACAACTGGTTGCAGACAGACACCATTTCACAACTGGTTGTAGACAGACACCATTTCTCAACAATACACACCTGCTTGCAGACAGACACCATTTCTCAACAATACACAACTGGTTGCAGACGGACACCATTTCTCAACAATACACAACTGGTTGCAGACGGACACCATTTCACAACAATACACAACTGGTTGCAGACAGACACCATTTCTCAACAATACACACCTGGTTGCAGACAGACACCATTTCTCAACAATACACACCTGCTTGCAGACAGACACCATTTCTCAACAATACACACCTGCTTGCAGACAGACACCATTTCTCAACAATACACACCTGCTTGCAGACAGACACCATTTCTCAACAATACACACCTGCTTGCAGACAGACACCATTTCTCAACAATACACACCTGGTTGCAGACAGACACCATTTCTCAACAATACACAAAAATGCTTGCAGACAAACACCATTTCTCAACAATACACACCTGCTTGCAGACAGACACCATTTCTCAACAATACACACCTGGTTGCAGACAGACACCATTTCACAACAATACACAACTGGTTGCAGACGGACACCATTTCTCAAAGATACACAACTGCTTGCAGACGGACACCATTTCTCAAAGATACACAACTGGTTGCAGACAGACACCATTTCTCAACAATACACAACTGGTTGTAGACGGACACCATTTCTCAACAATAAACAGCTGGTTGCAGACGGACACCATTTCTCAACAATACACAACTGGTTGCAGACAGACACCATTTCTCAACAATACACAACTGGTTGTAGACGGACACCATTTCTCAACAATACACAACTGCTTGCAGACAGACACCATTTCTCAACAATACACAACTGCTTGCAGACAGACACCATTTCTCAACAATACACAACTGGTTGTAGACGGACACCATTTCTCAACAATACACACCTGCTTGCAGACAGACACCATTTCTCAAAGATACACAACTGGTTGCAGACAGACACCATTTCTCAATAATACACAACTGCTTGCAGACAGACACCATTTCTCAACAATACACACCTGCTTGCAGACAGACACCATTTCTCAAAGATACACAACTGGTTGCAGACAGACACCATTTCTCAACAATACACAGCTGGTTGCAGACGGACACCATTTCTCAACAATACACACCTGCTTGCAGACAGACACCATTTCTCAACAATACACAACTGGTTGCAGACGGACACCATTTCTCAACAATACACAGCTGGTTGCAGACGGACACTATTTCTCAATGATACAGAATCTTTGGGCATGTCGAGAGAAAGGGAACACCGGAGGGTTTTATGACAGCAGCGTGGATGGAGTGGAAGGGACTCCAAGAGAGACAGTTTGGCATCAAGTCATAAAGGGATATTTGTAAACAGACCGACAATGCATTTGAGAAATGGCTGTGGAGAGGCTTATTGTCCACAGCCACAAAGTGTGGACTTTCAGAACTTCTGTAGGTAGAACTAACATTTTTTTTCTGTCAGTCTGTAACAACTCTTGTGTTTACTTCAGTTATGAATCAATTATTCAGGTGCTATCTCCGTAATGAAGACTCACTGCGTGTTACAGGGAGACATCACTTGTTTGTCAGGATATAGGATACTGCACAAAGTTAAGATGGACTGAAATCAACAAGTATTACCCATTCCCTTTCTAGAACCATCAAATTTTTTTTTAAGCAAAGAGATATTTTGTAAATGCCTAGTTATATAAACAGTATCTGATGTAATTTTGTGACATGCCAAATCAAAGAGATCGCAGAAATGCTCGCTTTCCGGAAGTCTCCAAGAGTCCAACTGTCAACTTAATTAGAGCATTGTGGTGCAGAATTATCTGATGCAACAGAGATGCGGTTAGAAAATCCCATAAGAAAATGCACATAGTAAACAAGTTTTATCATTTAAGAATCTTCCAGAAGCAGTAGTGAGTAGAAAAACACACACCATGCATTCCAGCATCTCAGTATAAATAGGAGGTAAGAAACTACATGGGCAGTCTTCAGTCACTGAAACTTGAAAAAGGAGGGACTATTAATATGGACCCTTACAGACGAAAATCATAGGATGCAATTAAAGCCAAGCCCCAGTGGCAGACTAAGGCCATCCAAAGTTTTTTTTTTTCATTTTCAAGTCAAGACAAAAATCTTCATTGTTCAGTATACGAGACTTAGAAGTTAAAAAAAAAAAAGTTATTGCGTATCCTTACAGGAAGTTTCATAACCAGCACCAGCATTTTTTTTATTGTTGTAGTTTGCCATTGCTTAGAAGAAGAGGGACTAGTAATAAAGGACACTCGCAGGGGAGAACCTTCAGTTGTGGAAAACTCCAACACTAAAAGGAGAGGAACCAGTCACATGGGGCTTTAAAAGAGTCACCAGAGAGGAGACGTTAAATCAGACATTGAACTACAGAGACAGCAGACAAGAAACATGGATCCATGGTTAACAGACACCACATTAGAAAGAAACACTATTATTAAGCCATAAGTACAGACAGCACTAGAAGTCAGGTGGCAGTTACAGACCCCAGAACCAGTTAATAAAGTAACTAGAGATAAACACAACGTGACATCAAGAGTATGTAATTACAGAGAGAAACAGCGGCCATTCAGAATATCACTGAAGTTATTTATCACATATAGAGAAAAGACAGTATGTTGAAAAGAATAGTTGTTTCAAGATATGTTGTTACCCGTTCATCAGTGTGAAGTGTCAAGCATGCAGCAAGCATGAGAGACCATCGTCATCACCACTAATGACACGCTCATCTCCTCATCTATATCCTTCAACTGACTCCTTCTGTAGCAAACTAAAGATGAAACTGTGTGTGACATCAACATATTCAAAGAATAGAGCTGTGCTACATGTGATGGATATACAACATTCCCTCACGCTGCTTGTACTCTCCCTGATACAACCATTTACCTATCTCTGAATGTATCCTCCCTATTGTATCACTGCAAATCTCTTGCTAGCTTGCCATAAAACTTTTCCCACAAGTATGATTTTTTTTAATTAGGTCTTTGAAGGTGGTGAAAATATTTTAACAACAATCTTTTGTGCTTGACTTGATTGTTTTTGTTTCCATCTATACCACTAAGTCTTCTATATATCCTGGTCTTCACTATCTCTCCATGTGATAGTTTTTGCTTGTCAGACTCTCTCCAGTCCAGGCTTTCTTTTGTTACCTGTGTTCACCTTCATGTTGGTCAATCCTTTTCTGATAGATTCTCCGTTCCAAGGTGTCTTTAGTTTCCTGTGTTCACCTTCATGTTGGTCAATCCTTTTCTGATAGATTCTCCGTTCCAAGGTGTCTTTAGTTTCCTGTGTTCACCTTCATGTTGGTCAATCCTTTTCTGATAGATTCTCCGTTCCAAGGTGTCTTTAGTTTCCTGTGGTCAACATGTTGGTCAACATTATGAAAACAAAGCTGACTGCAGTATGTGAAAGCTAGGACAAACAATACAACATAATGAAAACAAAGCTGACTGCAGTATGTGAAAGCTAGGACAAACAATACAACATAATGAACATAAAGTTGACTGCAGTATGTGAAAGCTAGGACAAACAATACAACATAATGAAAACAAAGCTGACTGCAGTATGTGAAAGCTAGGACAAACAATACAACATAATGAAAACAAAGCTGACTGCAGTATGTGAAAGCTAGGACAAACAATACAACATAATGAACACAAAGCTGACTGCAGTATGTGAAAGCTAGGACAAACAATACAACATAATGAACATAAAGTTGACTGCAGTATGTGAAAGCTAGGACAAACAATACAACATAATTAACACAAAGCTGACAACAGTATGTGAAAGCTAGGACAAACAATACAACATAATTAACACAAAGCTGACA